TTAGCTACTAAAAAACATCTAAGAAACGCGTAATGGCTAGAATACCCTTGAAAGAAAGTTATTTCCCCTTCTTAGATACTAAAAAACATCTAAGAAACGCGTAATGGCTAGGAATACCCTTGAAAGAAAGTTCATTCCCTTCTTAGCTACTAAAAACATCTAAGAAACGCGTAATGGCTAGAAGACCCTTGAAAGAAAGTTCATTCCCTTCTTAGCTACTAAAAAAAAACATCTAAGAAACAGCGTAATGGCTAGAATACCCTTGAAAGAAAGTTATTTCCCTTCTTAGCTACTAAAAAACATCTAGAGCAACGCGTAATGGCTAGAATACCCTTTGAAAGAAAGTTCATTCCCTTCTTAGCTACTAAAAACATCTAAGAAACGCGTAATGGCTAGGAATACCTTGAAAGAAAGTTATTTCCCTTCTTAGCTACTAAAAAAACATCTAAGAAACGCGTAATGGCTAGAATACCCTTGAAAGAAAGTTCATTCCCTTCTTAGCTACTAAAAAAACATCTAAGAAACGCGTAATGGCTAGAATACCCTTGAAAGAAAGTTCATTCCCTTCTTAGCTACTAAAAAACATCTAAGAAACGCGTAATGGCTAGAATACCCTTGAAAGAAAGTTCATTCCCTTCTTAGCTACTAAAAAAAAACATCTAAGAAACGCGTAATGGCTAGAATACCCTTGAAAGAAAGTTCATTCCCCTTCTTAGCTACTAAAAAACATCTAAGAAACGCGTAATGGCTAGGAATACCCTTGAAAGAAAGTTCATTCCCTTCTTAGCTACTAAAAAACATCCAAGAAACGCGTAATGGCTAGAATACCCTTGAAAGAAAGTTCATTCCCTTCTTAGCTACTAAAAAAAACATCTAAGAAACGCGTAATGGCTAGAATACCCTTGAAAGAAAGTTATTTCCCTTCTTAGCTACTAAAAAACATCTAAGAAACGCGTAATGGCTAGAATACCCTTGAAAGAAAGTTATTTCCCTTCTTAGCTACTAAAAAAACATCTAAGAAACGCGTAATGGCTAGAATACCCTTGAAAGAAAGTTCATTCCCTTCTTAGCTACTAAAAAAAAACATCTAAGAAACGCGTAATGGCTAGAATACCCTTGAAAGAAAGTTCATTCCCTTCTTAGCTACTAAAAAACATCTAAGAAACGCGTAATGGCTAGAATACCCCTTGAAAGAAAGTTCATTCCCTTCTTAGCTACTAAAAAAACATCTAAGAAAACGCGTAATGGCTAGAATACCCTTGAAAGAAAGTTATTTCCCCTTCTTAGCTACTAAAAAAACATCTAAGAAACGCGTAATGGCTAGAATACCCTTGAAAGAAAGTTCATTCCCTTCTTAGCTACTAAAAAAAACATCTAAGAAACGCGTAATGGCTAGAATACCCTTGAAAGAAAGTTCATTCCTTCTTAGCTACTAAAAAAACATCTAAGAAACGCGTAATGGCTAGAATACCCTTGAAAGAAAGTTCATTCCCTTCTTAGCTACTAAAAAAAAACATCTAAGAAACGCGTAATGGCTAGAATACCCTTGAATGAAAGTTCATTCCCTTCTTAGCTACTAAAAAAAAACATCTAAGAAACGCGTAATGGCTAGAATACCCTTGAAAGAAAGTTCATTCCCTTCTTAGCTACTAAAAAAAACATCTAAGAAACGCGTAATGGCTAGAATACCCTTGAAAGAAAGTTCATTCCCTTCTTAGCTACTAAAAAACATCTAAGAAACGCGTAATGGCTAGAATACCCTTGAAAGAAAGTTCATTCCCTTCTTAGCTACTAAAAAAACATCTAAGAAACGCGTAATGGCTAGAATACCCTTGAAAGAAGGTTCATTCCCCTTCTTAGCTACTAAAAAAACATCTAAGAAACGCGTAATGGCTAGAATACCCTTGAAAGAAAGTTCATTCCCTTCTTAGCTACTAAAAAAACATCTAAGAAACGCGTAATGGCTAGAATACCCTTGAAAGAAAGTTATTTCCCTTCTTAGCTACTAAAAAACATCTAAGAAACGCGTAATGGCTAGAATACCCTTGAAAGAAAGTTATTTCCCTTCTTAGCTACTAAAAAAACATCTAAGAAACGCGTAATGGCTAGAATACCCTTGAAAGAAAGTTCATTCCCTTCTTAGCTACTAAAAAACATCTAAGAAACGCGTAATGGCTAGAATACCCTTGAAAGAAAGTTCATTCCCTTCTTAGCTACTAAAAAACATCTAAGAAACGCGTAATGGCTAGAATACCCTTGAAAGAAAGTTCATTCCCTTCTTAGCTACTAAAAAAAACATCTAAGAAACGCGTAATGGCTAGAATACCCTTGAAAGAAAGTTCATTCCCTTCTTAGCTACTAAAAAAACATCTAAGAAACGCGTAATGGCTAGAATACCCTTGAAAGAAAGTTCATTCCTTCTTAGCTACTAAAAAAAACATCTAAGAAACGCGTAATGGCTAGAATACCCTTGAAAGAAAGTTCATTCCCTTCTTAGCTACTAAAAAACATCTAAGAAACGCGTAATGGCTAGAATACCCTTGAAAGAAAGTTCATTCCCTTCTTAGCTACTAAAAAAACATCTAAGAAACGCGTAATGGCTAGAATACCCTTGAAAGAAAGTTCATTCCCTTCTTAGCTACTAAAAAAACATCTAAGAAACGCGTAATGGCTAGAATACCCTTGAAAGAAAGTTATTTCCCCTTCTTAGCTACTAAAAAAACATCTAAGAAACGCGTAATGGCTAGAATACCCTTGAAAGAAAGTTATTTCCCTTCTTAGCTACTAAAAAAACATCTAAGAAACGCGTAATGGCTAGAATACCCTTGAAAGAAAGTTCATTCCCTTCTTAGCTACTAAAAAAAACATCTAAGAAACGCGTAATGGCTAGAATAAATTCACGCTCGTACCTCACGCTTTTCTGGCGCAAATTCATGTTTTGGGACTTTTAAATCAAAATATTATCAAATATAATCAAAATATTATTATCAAAATAATCTTAATTTTTATCCTTAAATTTTGATGAATTCATCGTCCTCGTTAATCAAAAACTAGGTCTTGGAACGCTTGGAAAATAGCATCGTTTGTTTTCGAGTTGTTCTAAGACCGATGGCGCTATTTTAGGAGCCATAGAAGGTGTATACCTAACTTGGCCGATGATGTAACTTTCGGCCGATTTACATGGCGTAACCGGTTAGGCCCAACTCTTTATTTCCTTTTTTTTGAGCTGTGTATACGTTGCTTTTTTATTTTCCTTTTTCGGTGGTAGGCAGTTTTCAAGGTACGAAAAATGTCGAAATTTGGGGAACGCTGAAGTGCCAAATCCGTCCAATCGACATTTTGCCACATTCAGAGAATCGAGCAATTTTACCCTAGTTTTAGTTAAAAATTTGTATTTCCAAAAATGTGTTAAGTTTCGAAGGATTTTGAACTTGTTAGAATTCGCGTCGCTCACAATTAGATGAAATTCCTTTCAAAAGTCCGTTTTCTAATGGTCTAATTTCCTATGATTTATCTCAAGAATATGTTGTGAGCTACGCTCGACTACACCCCTTTCATAAGAATTTATTTATCCGTTGTTCTGGCCCGCGTCCACCACTCCGCCCCAGCGTATTTTCACGGCCACGTAAAGGGCGGCACGAATTTTGGCTGGCCCAGCCCAAATTCCCGAAATCATCATTCGCGGCTAGACGGCCCTCCTAGGACCTCGAAAGAGCCCGATTTCATCGGCCCTATAGCCCCGGAATTCTGAATTCTTCGGCCGGGTCCTGCCACGAAATGCCAAGAAATCATTCATCACTCCCCGTGGCATTCTTGGGACGTTTTAGGTATTCAATTCATCCGCAGGAAAAAAAATAGACCGGATGGGATTGGCCTCGGGGGGTTTTGAGAATTACAGAGTGACGATGAATTTTTCAGAAATTTTGACGTGCAGGTGGTGCATTTTACCTATTTCCTGTTCAGATTTTAACCTTATAGCCTATTACTTTTTTTTCTTTTCCGTGCTCTGAAATCCAAGCAAAAACTGTACACGCAATGTAATTCCTTGATTTCTGGGCCGTCATTTCCGCAGCATCTTCCGAAGATTTTTTGCAGTTGTCAATCGCATATTTTCAGGAAGTGAACAATGACGCTATGCAAACAGCCCTGTCGATGTTTACGGCCCAGTCCGCTGCTGGTACGATAATTTTTTGCGTTGTTGATTTTTTTCTAAGATTTATTTTATAAATTTGAGGGTATTTGAGAAGATTAAATAGCGTCAATCAGCAAGTCTCTTTGATCTTGTTTTCAAAAAGGTTCGTAGGGTTTTTAGATTTTTTTCTTTTTAGAAAGCGGAAGTTTTTGACTAGTTGGCCGCGGGCCAAAATTGAGCTCGAGGATTGCAATTAGCTAGGGAAGAGGACGGATAGAGAAGCAGCTAGGCCCGGCTAGCTGCTGGGGGGCCCTAAAATAAGCCCAATCTCGCGGAGCCTGTGGGGCAACATTTTGAATCCTGGCACGGAGAAGCGCGCGTAAAATTGGTGAAAATTCAAACTTGACCGTTTGGAGGCTAGAAATAGAGCACATTTCAAATGAAGGCGTAAAAAAGTGCTCATACAAAAAAAATCTCAATTTTTTCAGATAGTTTTCCTTGTATCAATCGTCTCGTTGTGCTTTGGCACGATCGTCGCTACTTATGATATCGATCGCTTTGGCGCTGGGCTGTATTTGGTACGTCAAAATTAAGCAAAAAAAAAAATTAAATGAATGTAAATTTTTTGGCTGATTCTAAAAATGGATTCTAAAAATCATTACCCCTAAAAACGTTACTCCTAAAAGTTGGTACGTCGGATAATCAGTTTTTCGGCACGTTTGGCCATCGGTATGCCCAAATCGACGCTCCGAATTCTGGGTTTAATCAAAGAAATGTTTTAGATGAGCTTTTAGCAAAATTGAAGAAGCAAACAGATGTGAAAAAATGCTTTTTCGCACTCTGTTAGCTAACCTGAATATTTATTTAGTGCCTCGTTTCCGTGGTCACCATTGTGTCGCGCTCGCATTCTGCCTTGTCGGCACGGATGAGCAGGTAAGCTTTTTCAATTTTTAAACTTTATTTCTACCCCTGTTTCCCTTTCAGACCGAACCCACCGTCGCCAAGAAGGTCTGGTCAACAACAAGGCAAACGATAAGAAGGTGATTTTCCCCAAATGGTCTCTGCTAGCCTGAAATTACTTTAGATATGCTCGCAGCAAAGCCGAGCCGTCGAAAATCGAGATCAAAATCGCGAATATCGATTTGTCGGATGAGGAGGAGAGTGAGGAGAGTCATGAGATGGAAGAGGGGAAGAAGGGGCAACGAGCAGTGGTTATTAGGGAAAATACAGAGGTCTGTTCAGATGGGAATTTCCATAGAAAAGCATTTTTAGAGTCAAGGAACGGACCCGAGTTTGCCGAGCACTTCCGGGTCCACGACGATACGACCTATCCCGGAAATGGTTGAGCAAATTGACGAGACAATGGACGAACCGCCGGATGAACAAGTTTAAGCTGAATTGATTGGTGTTTGCGTAAAAAATCGCGCTATTTTGCTAATTTTAATTGTATTGATGTGCTGCGGTTTTTAAAAATACTGCATTTCTTATTTATGCTTGCTCGATGGTTCTCTGTATATATAAGTTACGGGTAATGTTCGGCGTGCAATAAAGAGATCAATTTATGACGCAAATAATAGCATGACAATTTTTCATAACCCGAAGATTGGTATCCGGCAGGAGATGCAGTTTTCCCCAGAAATTACCCACGCGATCGGCTAGTGTATTTACGCACGCAAATTTTTCTAAACTTGTTGAATTTCTAGAGCAGCAACACGTTTAGAAAAAAATTTTTGAGTAAAATCTGGAAACATTGGTCCGCTCATTCGAAAGCGAGGATTTTTCTGCGTGGGATGTGCTAATTGGTTTTCCCTGGATATTTTTCTTCAAAGCGACCGCTTAGCAGTTTGTGAAAACGGATTCGGAATCGGGCAAAATTCTGCACATTGTAGGTCTAATGTCGACTCAAAATTCAATTCACACTAAAAAACGTCTCCTTGAAAGTTTGTTGTCTTTAAGAATCGATTTTTATCGCAGTTCCCTCAAATGTCTTGGCAAAACGGCAAACCCTAAAGTATAGTATTCACAGTTTTTTATTCAACTTTTATGAGCATCATTCTGAACTGCACCCAGTCGGCCTGAAATCGGCGATAAGACCCACGTTTCCGCGGGCCAAACTATGGATGGCATCCGGGTTTCGATAAGGGAATAGGCACTCGTCTTCTTCGATTGGCCATGCTATCGAGAGGTAAATAATTTGCAAAAAAGCCTTAGATTTTGATGGTTTCAGCGGTCATCGCCAGCGCTCTGCTATCAGTCGTTTTGGGGTAAGTAACACCAAAATTTTGTCGGAATTGTCGCAAATGCGCAAGCGATTCGAACGGCGATGTTCAGGGCTAGGAATTCGCAAACTTTTTTTTCAATTTCTAACATTTTTTAGTGGTTGGGGAGATCCGTTACGGGACCTCGGTGTGCCAAACTATGACTGTGGAGCGGATCTGATGAAGCCTAGTGCAAGGTTGGCGAAAAGAGCTGAAAAACTGTAGTTATAGGCTGGTGTTTTGCTTAACCAGTCAGTTAACACGAAAAACCTACACTTCGGCGTTTCAGATCCCCACAAATGTCAACTCTGTTCGTCCTGGTGACATCAAGGTCGTGATGGCGCTCGGGGATTCGATTACGGTACGAGAAAAGCTTTAACATTAAGCCATCCGCGACGTGAGAGTTCTTCGCCTTCGACAATGACGTCAAAGAACGTTTTCTCCTAGCTTGATTAGCTAGCTCACCGAGTTGCAAAAACTTTGAAAAGTTTAATGGAAGGGGAAAGAACGCAACTCGTCCAAATGGCGTAGTTTTTTTGAAAAATTCGCGACGCTGTTTTTTTTATTCGGCTACGGTAGCAAAGTGGGTTTTACGGTAGTTTACAAGCGGTTTTATCCTAGCTTATTTTTGCCTGTTCAATAACAAGACTCACAAGCTCAATACCAGAAAAAGACCAGCGAAACTCGCAGAAGTCGTCATGCTCTGTAAAATTGCAAAGATTCGCCAAGCTGATGCTTTATCTCGGCTTCAAAATGCCATATTTTAGGCAGCAAATGGTGCCGGAGCCGAGGATCCGCTAGCGGTCGTGCTCCAGTATCGTGGTCTGGCCTTCATGGCGGGCGGGGACAAGTCGCTCGAGCAGCACGTCACCATTCCAAGTAGGTCTCGTTCTCGGCTTTTTCCATTCACGCTAGAGCAGCACGTCACCATTCCAAGCCTCGGAAATCATATGGATTTCCGATTTGTTAATAGCATTTTTTCACGTTTATCGTCAAATTTTCAGACATCCTGAAGAAGTACAACCCGAAGCTCTACGGATATTCGCTCGGAATTGGGGCCAAATGGTGTGGGAGGTCGCCCAGTTCAACTTGGCCTATCCTGGGGCAAACGCCAAGGATCTACCCGATCAGGCAAAGGATTTGGTGGCCAGGATGAAGGCACATTCTGATGTAGGTATTTTGGTGATAGCGATTTTGCGTTCACTTGCGGCCCTAAAATCCGTGTTTAGGTCATCGACATGGCAAACGACTGGAAATTGCTGAACATCTTCATTGGTGGAAACGATATTTGCGGATTGTGCAGGCATCCGGTAGAATATTAACAACGTTTTTCAAAGTGTATTTAAGGACTACGCGCCGTCAAACTGCGTAGCGGAGATTCATCAGGCCGTTCAGTACATCCAGGTGTTTTTAGTTAGAAAATTCGGATAAAACATTTCAGATTGAAAACAAAAAATTATCCAAAAAAAAATATTCCCGAAATCGTAGTTATTTTCCTTTTCGTAATCGTAGTTAATCGATGGATTTTCCAGGACAACGTGCCGCGGGTAATCGTGAATTTGATGTCAATGCTGCATCTCGAACTCCTCCGCCAGGTCGACACAGGAAATATGTTCTGCTTGGCGTTGCATACGTAGGTTTTGTGCTTATTACTTTTTCCACTTCCTTTCGCGGAAGCATCAGTACATACTTTTGCAGCGATGAATGCGGCTGTGAGCAGAACAAGAACTTCACGGATGCTATGATTTCGGCCGCTTTGTACAGGAATATCAACAGCTGTGAGACAAAACTACAGGATGACGGCATCTTTGAGAAAGACGATTTCACATACGTTGTCCAGCCATTCGCCAATGAGATTATCCACCCGCCTAGTTATCCGGTAAATTAGGCCCTGATCTGGCCCCTCTCTCGCCTCTCTCTCTCGCTCTCCTCTCTCTATTTGCCTTGCAGAACGGCACCGTGGATTCGGACTCTTCTGCCCCGACTGCTTCCACTTTTCTCAATATGGCCATGCCGTCACAGCTACATGGGTTTGGAAGAACATGCTCGAGCCGGTACACCAAACGTGAACATTTTTGACAAACCTCATCTTAGGGTAGGCAAAAACGACGAAGGGGTGACTTCTCCGGACCTGCGCTGCCGTTGTCGTGCCCTGATCCGGTTGGAGTTTCAAGAATCGTAGCTTATAGCTTCACGCCGTCTTTACCGGCTAGATTTTATTTTTATTGTTTTCAGAAATGCCCTTCATCCGAACACCCAAGAACTCTGCTGACTGTTCGAAATACATGACGGAATAACTAGCGAAAGCATAAATTGTACCTTACAGGTTCGAAATCCGAGACTACTAGTTTAAAAAACGTGTTTTCAACTTTCCGTTCTAACAGATGATCGGTGGGATTCTGACTGCTACCCCAACTGGGGTAATAAATCAGAAACCCACTTCCTAATTCTATTCTATAATTTATAGTGGAAATATCCCCCCCCCGATAACGCAAAAGAACCAAATTTGAGGGCAGCCATTACCAGCGATTGAAGCCGCCGGAAAGGCAGTCCGTTTTCGGTTTCCGCATCTCCGTCTGGAATTCTGGATTTTCGCGTGCAAATACGGTTTCTGAAGCGTGAGTCAATGGCAGATGTTTATTCACAACTATACTCAAATAGGCTTCAGAAATGGGTAATCATGTAGGCGGCGACGACGGGGATGGCGATGAGGTGGAGCAGTGAGCGGGTGGACGACGCCTGTGGCCTCATCTTGGTCACGTCCCAGACGTTGCACAGATCTCCCGCACAAATGCATACACGCCAAACCCTAGAAACGAAAGCATTAAAGCGTTTGATGTTTTTAATGAATCCAATATATAAATTTTAGGCTTAAGTGCAGTTTACCCCGCTCCCCTGGGCCCAGCTCCTTAGCCATAAGTCCTATTAATGCGCCGAGTATCTCCAAATGTTTGCCGTCGTCGAAAACCTCGAAAAAGTTGTTTACTTGCGCCAAAAATTGTTAAAAAATTTTTACAAGATTTTGAAAGTTGAAAAAGATTAAGTCGTTATCAGGGTTGTTCAGGGACGGACCGGACGCGTCCCCGTCCCCTAATTTGCATCCCGAAATGGGGACAGACGGGGACGGGACGGGGACGGTGGGGACGGACGGTGACGGGGCAGCGTCCCCGTCCCCGATGCAAATTATGGGATAAAGTAATGGCATTCAAATCACGCATCGGCTGGGTTTAGAATTTCGCAGAGCAAGCTACAAAACGCGGATAGCATGATTACGATGAAGTGCTTATAACCTAGCACGTAGAGTAATTAACCAGTTGCTTTCTAACTTGAATATCTCGAATTTTTAAGCTCTGTAGCAAATTCCGAAAAATGGTGATTATCTGCAGCGCCGACGCCATCTAGGTAGAACTTCCAGCTTGGCCTGAGTTGCATGTATTTTTGACTCCCCTAAAGCAACGAGAAGGAGACCCGAAATAATTACTGGTAGGAAAACCATTTGCATTTCGGCATTTGCATCGGGGACGGGGTGACGCTGACCGTCACCCCGTCCCCGTCTGTCCGTCCGTCCTTCCCGGACGCGTCCTCGTCCGTCCCCTAATTTTATGCAAATTAGGGTGACTGTCTCCGTCCCCGTCCGACGCGGACGGACGGAGACGGGACGCAAAATGACCAACCCTGGTCGTTATGCTTCAATGTACCAGGAGTCTCAAACGCAAATATTTGACTCAAATGCACTGTAGGCTTATTCTCCAGAGCAAGAGCTACATTTTGGTATTATTGACAGCTCTGTACGACTAAAGATGGCCGAGATACGTAAACTCATTTTGGAACAACAAAAATTAGCTGAAGAAAACCCAGACTTATAATTGTTATATAATTTTTTTAACAATTTTTGGCGCAAGTAAACAACTTTTTTAGAGGTTTCCGCCCACGGCGAACATTTTGAAATACTCAGCGCATTAATAGGACTTAAAGTAAAGTAAAGTAAACAATATTCGGAAAACCGCTAGGAAGAGGTGAATTTTGGGCACACTTTAGACCGATACCCGCGACCAAACTGACCTTTTTTCAGAACCGCCGGGATTGTGCAGCCATCGCTGGGAGTGTACGGGGTGCAACCCCTCCAAATCGACTCCTCGCCCTCGTAGTCTTTTTCAACCCGCATGCCGCAATAAGCGCCCTCGCACGTCATCAGTTCCTAAAGTGCGAACTTACTTAGTTCTCTAAAACACCGTAACCGATCAGCACTTTTTGAGCACAGAACGCTTAGGCTTAGCTGGGGCTCTTCTCATTTTCAGCGTTATTTTTGCTTTTGTTAGAATCTTCTTAATTTATAGTTGTTTGAACTAGCACCAAGATTCTAAGTATATGTTTTGATGTTCTACCGGTTCGCTATGATTTAGTCCTCGAACAATAGTGCTATATTGAAAAATTTACGATATCAGCCCCCCATTAAATTTCTCCTCCCGCTATCCCGCCCCCGCCCCGCCCCCTCCCCCTCTAACGAACCAGAACCAGATTCCAAAAATGTTTGCGTACCGTGCTGCCTTCCTCGCATTTGGGATGGATCGGCTCGCCGATAAGCGAGCTACAATTGGTTTTTTAATTATTTAATCGTCGCGATCGGCTTACTAATTCATTTTCGGGTCGTATGGTTTTTGAATGCTGGGGCTGCGGCAGTGATAACACTTGTTGGCATCGACGGTGTCGAGATGGACGACGATCAGGGCCAGCACGAGGAGCACCGAATAGCGGGCCGACATCTTCTAGAAATGGCCGATTTTGTAGCTTGCAGTTTTTTGAGAGGTAATTCGGGTCTGGATTGATGCAAACCTTAGAAAGATGCGAATCGACACACAATTTTGGATTTGGCCTTCACTGTATGCCACTGCGCGGTAAGGTACAGCCAAGTGTTTGGCTTTTGATGTAGCGAGCAGAAATCTTGTATAAATGGACTATTTTGTGTATGGCAAAGTTTTGTGAGCGACCATTCGGATCTTGATGCAAACCTTAAAAAAAGATGCAAATAGAGAGTTCGCCCAATTTTGGATTTGGTCCCCACTGGATGCCAACAGGCTGTAACAAACGAATCCACTGACTATGGCCAGGATTCTTATCAACCCCGGGGCGGGTTTAAAATTGTCTCTGTACTCTGGCTTTTACATCTGTCAATGTGACCGGGTTCCACCAACAACCAATGAAAATGTCTCGCTTGCATTAGTGTTTAGGATCCATCACAGTTGAGTTGAAAGATTATGGCCGTTAGGAAGAATTTAGATGGAAATCTCATGCACTAACCACAAAAATCAAAAAGGTTTTGGTGTGAATTGCGTTCCGGTCAAAAAGCAAAATAAAAAATTGCGAGCAAATTCGAACCCTCGTCAGTATCCTATCAAGTGAGTCGCTTACCACTCGGCCATTCAACTGGTGATTCCATAGTGAGGGGAGAGCCTTATAAACCTATCGCTAATGCTAATTTTTCGGATGTAAATCATCATTTTCCGGAAGTGCTGTATCTCTGTCCACAGGCCCATTAAGGAAATTCTGACAAGAGCGTTGGAATCGCCATAGTCGAAAACCTAGGGGTAGCCGCGAGCGTTTTTCGAAATTCCACCGTGCCAACTTGAGGTTCCCTTGTTAGCGCATTTTCTCGTTGTTTCTAAAGAATGAAAAATGCACGCAAAGAACGCAGGGCCTCCCCCGATAAGAGTTGATTTGATGAATTCTGGTCGGCTCTTCGATAAGAACTTGGCACACTTCTCCCGAGGGCCAGGCCATGTTTTCCAGAGGTAACTCAGGATCGGATAATTTCTTAATGTTTTTCGCAGTGGTGCTCTTCAGCTGGGTGGTCACCGTCGTGCTCGGGTAACAGAACTTTTAGTTCAGAAAATTTCAAATAACGTTTGATCATAAGAAAGTGATTTAGCGGCTGGGGAGACCCGTTGCGGGACCTCGGCGTGCCGAACTATGACTGTGGAGCAGATCTGATGAAGCCTAGTGCAAAGGTTGGAATCTTTCACGTGTTATTCCAAGCTGATACGGCTCTTCGTATTCATAAATTAAATGATTTCCTTTCATAGAGGTTCGTCTAAAAGTGGTTATAAAGCTCAGGAGGAGATGTTTTTGTGGCAATTAGATTTTAACGCCTCCGACAAGCCTACCTTGTGCAGAATTTGGAGCCGATTCTAAATCTGTGTTTAGAAATTGCGAACCGAGAAGAACAAGATGTTACGACGCTGTTAGGTCCAAAAAAGCCCAAAATGGCGGAGTTTCTCGAAATTTTTTAGGGTTTTGCATCAAAACCTTCATAATTTCGTTAATCTTGTCATTCTACAGATTTTGTGGACACATTCGGGATCAGCTTAAAATTCTGCACACAATGAGCTCATATGTTTGAACTGCTGTTTTTCAGATTCCCACAAATGTCAACGCGGTCCGCCCGGGCGACATCAAGGTTGTAATGGCACTTGGGGATTCGATTACGGTATGAAAATCACCTTTAAATTTACATTCAACTATCTAAAACCAAGGCAGCAAATGGTGCCGGCGCCGAGGATCCGCTAGCCGTCGTCCTCCAGTATCGTGGTCTAGCCTTCATGGCGGGCGGGGACAAATCGCTAGAGCAGCACGTCACGATCCCAAGTATGTTTTGCTTAAAGGGATGCCCAATCGACCCTGGACCCCCGTTTTGTAGGCTTGGATGCTATCCATTTGGCCAAAGTGGCAAGCAGTTGAACGGTATGGGGGGGGCGTCACTAGAGGGACAGGTGTCCGAATTTTGTGCGACAGTGGGCCTCCCATTGCCGCACAAGCATCGCGCGTCATTTGTACTGCCCGGAATACATAAGTATATAGTTGCCGCGGAAACATTGGGTATCCCTTTAAAGGGGCTACGAAATGCCAAAAATTGAGTGACGGCCCGAAAATTGGAGTCCCGTACGTGGGAGACCTCTGCATCCAGGGGCGCGGGAAGCTCGCAAATTTCATGGCCTTTTGTCATTTCAAGAATGGGCTCAGAATGCGCGAATTATAGTGTTTTCACAAAGAAACCGGGCAACAACAGTTTTTGCGCAAAAATCGAAAAGTGGGGGCTCTTGTCCCGCAGCGCCCGCTGGCAATTTGCCAGAAATGAAAGAGACCTCCCAAAAGGGCTTTGATTTGGCAGTTCGGAGCCCCTTTAAGGAACGATTGGCTTTTCGCGGTTACAAACACGTTTTCCAGACATTCTCAAGAAGTACAACCCGAAACTGTTCGGATATTCGCTCGGAATTGGTGGGCAAATGGTGTGGGAGGTGGCGCAGTTAAACTTGGCGTATCCTGGAGGCCATGCCAAAGATCTACCGGATCAGGCCAAAGATCTAGTCGCCAGGATGAAGGCCCATTCCGATGCGAGTTTTCTCTCTAACTTTTCTCTAACAGTGCGGGGTTCTTTCAGTTTAGCAAAGCGAAATTAATTTTTAACTATCGGCCTATTCCACCTGCGTTTTAAAAATTCAATGGTTTTCTCGCCAGTTTTCATTTACTAGGATTCTAGAATTATCAACATATAGAATTTCAGAATTTTTTATTTCCCAGATTTTCCCGATTTTCTATCAGTCTTTTATGTCTGATAATGTAAGAAAATTTGAATAATGCTGTAAAAATATATCCTTCGTTATAGGGCCGCCCCGGGTTATTGGCGAAAAACTGACTTCCCTTGCTAAAAGGGAAAACCCTAAGGCTATGCTGCCCCAAACCTGAAAATTAGGCAATCGACATGGCCAACGATTGGAAGCTGCTCAACATTTTCATTGGCGGAAATGATATTTGTGCGTTGTGCAGACGCCCGGTAATTTATACCCTTACGATAATCGGGTCCGCTTTTAGGACTACGCCCCTGCGAACTGTGTCGCTGAAATCCGGGAAGCAATACAGTACATACAAGTGATAACTAGAGTTTTAGAAAAGGTCTTTTTTTTCTCTTGCAGGACAACGTGCCGCGGGTAATCGTGAACTTGATGTCAATGCTTCACCTTGAACTCCTTCGCCAGGTCGACACCGGAAATATGTTCTGTTTGGCATTGCATACGTAAGTTTTTTCGGCCGATCACTTCTTTCCAATTCTTTCCAAGGAAGTATCGCTTAAATATCTTTTTTACAGAGATGAATGCGGCTGTGAACAGAACAAGAACTTCACCGATGCGATGATCTCGGCCGCTTGTACAGAATATCAACAGCTAGAGACAAAACTACAGGATGACGGCATCTTTGAGAAAGACGATTTCACATATGTCGTCCAGCCATTCGCCAATGAGATTATCCACCCGCCTAGCTATCCGGTAAATTAGGCAGTAATCCGGCCCTCTCCTCCCACTCTCGCTCTCTCGCGCTCGCGCTCTCGCTCTCTCTCTCTCTCTCTCTCTCTCTCTCTCTCTCGCTCCTCGCTATAAAACTTTCCTTTCAGAACGGCACTGTGGATTCGGACTTCTTCTGCCCCGACTGCTTCCACTTTTCTCAATATGGCCATGCCGTCACAGCTACATGGGTTTGGAGGAACATGCTCGAGCCGGTAGGTTACGTCAACTGTCCAAAATAACACTTAAAACCCCTAGTAAAGAATTCTTTTTCGATCGGTGTTTTAGGTAGGCAAAAAAAGACGACCAAGGGCAATCTCTCCGTGCCGGCTCTACCGCTGGCCTGTCCGGATCCGGTACGGGCTTGGTGAATAAGAGCCTTGAAATTCCCACCATCTCTCGACCCAATCCTTTTTTTCAGAAATGCCCCTTCATCCGGACCACCAAGAATTCGGCCGACTGCTCAAAATATATGACGGAGTAGCTGCCTCCCAAGGATCGAATTTGTTACAATAAAGAGAGCAGAGTCAGAGATTTTCGACAATTTGCAGCACGCTAAAATCTTTTTTAAGGCGGGAAAAACTAAATTGTCAATTCAAAAGAAAATTAAAAATGAATAAATAAAATTAAAATCCTACTATATATAAAAAAATAGTGTCTGTGTGTGTGCATTTGCATGCAACTTCCGTGAGGTTGTCTCTCACCTACAGCCTCAGGGAAAGGTTTTTAGGGTACGTATGATACGTCATTAGGTGCGTAATGGTGCCGAGATGAGTGCACACATATCAAAGCTTTGAAAAATTACTGTTTTGGCAAGTAAAATTGGGTTTTGTAAAGATATCGGAAAATCTCTTTGTTAGGAGCCAATTTGCATGCACCGGAAGTGGGGAAGCTTATATAAGGGGGTAGAGGGTCCCTTTTCCTTTTTTTTTGCAATCAAGGATCGGGAAGAAATATGTGTGCGTTAGACGGGGCCAGGGTTGAAAAGCCGCGAAGCGGTTTTTCAACCCTGGTTAAAAATGAAAAATATAAAGACAGATTCCTTAGTGCTATTCGAAGATTTTTTAAGTGTTATTCGAGGATTTCTTAGTCTTGTTCGAGGTTATTCATGTTATGCTAAAAATCCCCCGCTGACAGTCCAGAACCGAATCCCCTTTAGCTTGAAATCAGGATGCAGATGCGCGAGAGAGCGCCAGTCAAACGGGCTCATTCGACCCCAATCATTTGTTGCAACCAGGGTTGGTCACAAGGATCCGGTCCGCGGACGGTCCGCGGTCCGGTCCGGTCCGGATCGGTCCGAGTGGATCCGAGAATTTCGGACCGGACCGGACCGGACCGGACCGGACCGGTCCGGTCCGGGCTGAACACATAGGACATGATTCAGCTGCCAGATATGGAAAATTTTGTATGCAAAATACTACTCTCCAAGAATTTGACATATTTTTCCACATCTATGCTACTATCCGTCGCGTATATAGCCAAAAACTAATGGGAATGAGTAATTTTATACATTTTTGATTAAGCGAATTCCACATTTCGTCATTTTTTCGTACGCCACTCTTTTGCAATCCGAATTTACATGTTGCATTTCCGTTTCTCCTTGCAAATCAAAACCCCTCGGTCCGCCACGGACCGGACAGGTCCGGTCCGGTCCGGATGGAAATTTCGGACCGGACCGGACCGGACCGACCCCCGGACCGGACCGGATCCGATTAGGATCCAGCGTGACCAACCCTGGTTGCAACTCCATGGGCAGCGCCTTGAACCTGTCGAAGACGATGTAGCCGGTGCGGACGTGCTAAGCAAGCGTGAATTAACTAAAAAAAACCCTCAACACCTCCTTCATGACTAGCAGACAGGTACGGAGATCCAGGGCAAGCCGCCAAGAAAGAGGAAAACCGCGAAAAAATTTTATTCCATAGCCAAATTCCATCGAATGCCAAGTTTATTTTCCCCGGTATAGTAACAACACGTGCAAATTTTCATTCCCGGAATTCAATATTTATTCTGCACACACCGGCGGAAATAACCCCGGAATCCGCGACATTTTGGAACGAGGAATCACAGAAAGAGGGTGTGTAGAAGCGGAATAGGAGAAGCCATTGACGGGGGCATATTGACATGCAAAAAGCTATAGAAATCGGTGCGGGACTTGGGTTGATCAGCTACTAGGCGCCCGACGAGTCCACCGAGAAGCCGCCGGTGCGGAATGCGTTCAGGTAGGTGAGCGTGCGGCGGCACCAGTGGAGCTCCAGCTGAAAAAGAACGATTTTGCGTTAAATAGCTCCATTCGATAGAGAAAATTTTTCTAAATACTATTTTTCTACGACTTCTACGACTTTTTAAAACGAGTTATTTGGCAAAAATGAGCAGCGGATTCGAAATCAGCAAAAAAATTATACACAAAATAGGCTGGGTCCCATCAGGAACCGCCGCCTCGACCTGATGTGGTTCCCTTATAAGCAACTTACACAAACAGCATTTTTCGCTGATTCCGAATCCGCTTTCCAAAAATAATATCAAAGAAGCGTTGCAGGGCGGGGGTCGAACCGCCGCCCTGCGCTTGGCAAGCGAAACGGAAAACGGAAAGGAATCAGCTAAAAATGCTGTACAGGATGCACGTGGTCCCGAATCGGAACTCCAACTTAAGTAAAAATACTTTACGGTAAGCACCTTACACAAAGCAGACCCTGCTCCATGTGGTTTCGAGGAACTCAATGTGGAGGGCCTAAGAGAAGTGGGTGGTTGACACTGGCCTTGCTACCATGTCAGGGCCAGCTCTCGGCGCGGAATGTCGCCGTAGGCGTTGATGAACGCGCTGAGGGCGTTGTTGAGGATCAGCCTCTTCGCGTTGACCTGTTCCTGGAAGACGGTGACCAGTTAAAGGGAAGCGAAAGGCAATCCGTAATATGACCCAGGCCCGCCTTGCCGACACAGCGCGTCCAAAAACTCCACCTGCGCCTGCGGGTGAGGTTGTACTCGACGAGGGAGAGACGGCCGTCGCCCATCTCAAGCGTGTTGCGCGTGGACCAGCCGCGCTCACGCTCAACCTCCTTCATCGTGTCGGTGAGGCTCAGTCCGGCGTTGATATAGGCCATCTCCTGGGCAGGGGTGCGCGTGCTGGAAAACGATGATGAAGGGTGGAGGTTTTGTGAGTTATGCCTGGGAATTCGGGTTTTTTTTGCAGTATCTGGGTGATAATCAAATGTTGCGATTGCGTCCAGAAATGCCCATTTACGCAATGGTAAGTGTTTTAAAATTGTTTTGCCGTAATTTGACTATCTTTAAAAGGAAAAGGTAAGAGTTCAGTTTACCCCCCAGCCGGCACCCGACTTTCGTATCTCGGCCCCCTGCTCATCTACAGGTGTACAACGTATACCAAAATGTTCGCCTTGCTCTGGCAAGTATTTTGGTATAGTTTACAGGCCGCTACAACAGCGGGTTGTCGAGATATAGTAGGTGGGGGCCGGCTGCGAAAGGGGGGGGGGGTAATCTGAACCACAGCCAAGGTAAAACTACCCCGGCTAGAAAATTTTTGAAGAATAGAAAATTTATTTTGGAGCTTTTAGAAAAAGCTAAGCTTAGGATTAGCAGAAATAATTTAAAACGCTATTGTTAATTATATCAGAAAACTTGTTGAAAATAGAAAAAATGGTTTTGCCTCCGATAAGCACCCCCCCGTTAATGCCAAGGCGCCCCCGAATTATACCTGCGGAACGCATAGCTGCATCCGGCCAATATAATCGAAAAGCGAAGGGTGGCGACAACGCAGAGGCCATCGTCGCTCTAGAAATTCCACCGGCGTACGGGCGTCTCGCCAAAAACACGTACGTCCGCACGACGCCGGAACCGAACGTTCATTGTCTGGGATAGCGCGTCCAGCTGTCCCTTCCCCAGCTCCGAAACCGCCAATCGCAGTCCTTAAAACATTTTGCTTTTTCTGAAAGGGGCTCGGAAGTCAAAATTCCTGCGTGTGGGGGATTGCACCTAGTGGTCAAAACGAAAGGGTTACGACCGAAAAGCGTCATAAAACTTGTTTTATTGCGAAAAACGCGAAGTATTTTAGGGAAAACCAAAATTTTCACGGGGCGAAAACGGCTCTTTGAGTGGGCGGCGGTTACATGTCGTAATGCCTTGTAAGGTACCCAATCTCTCGATCTCGGTGATTCTCTGATCAATTTTCATAATTAAAAAGTGTAGAATGCTCAAAATTCGATGAGGATTCCAAAAATAGCGGCAGCATTTTGCAATTCAAGCGCTTTCACGTCCAACCAGGGGCAAAAGATCATGCGGCGGGGTCGCGTTGCGGTGCCATCTGGCTATTTGCCAGAAATCAACACGGGGGCCGTTGACCAGATTTAATAGCCCCTTTAAGCCCCACCCGTCATGACGGGGGCCCAGGCGAAGATATCGAATTCGGCGGCCTCCACGATACCGTCGAGCATGAATTCAATCGAGTCGATCTCGCGCTCACCGGCTTTCCATTGCTAAATTGAAATATGCAAGCCGCCCGCAGCAAAAATCTTTGCAAAAAAGCTTTTTTTAATTTGCATTAAATTAAAAACTAGGTGCTTTTGCATTACGCGGGGGGGCGGTGGAAAACGAAAATTCAACTTCGGTGTATGCTAATACAACTTCACAAGTGTTTTTGCACTGTTTCCCCATTTTGAGTATGCAAAAACTTTAGATTTCTTGCCCAAAACTTGCCGATTTTTTGCCAGAAATCCAAAAGCTAGATTTGAAATTGTTTTTCCGCTTAGGTATATAGTTAAATTAAATTGAAATCACTAGTAAGAGTACTGTTCCTAGTATAATACAGGGTGTCCCAATAAACAAACACACCCCCTTACTCGATGGAGAATATCGGATCGGGATGATAGTTACACCATTCGAAAGCCCTTCAAACGGCCAGTTTGCAACAATTTTCAAAACCATGTTTCTATTCAAACGCGCCATTTTACAACACTTTTAAAAACATTAAGGAACGACCTCTGCATTTAAAAGGCCGTCCGCCAGTCACTCGAACAGCCCCCAATATGGCTTGGCACAGTTTTTTTCCACCCTGTTTTTTTGACGGCATCGGAAAGAGGATAGTCGAATTAGTAGGGCTGCATAGTTTTGAAAGTTTAAAAGGTTAATTTTTAGTGTTTAAACGGGCCTCAAGGTAGTCGACCCCGAAAAACTATCTCGAAAGCTACTGCACCGAATTTGCTGAATCCTTGTGACGATACCTAATTTGGCATGGGGATCATTTCTCTAATACATCGCAAAGCGCGAAAATGACGGGAACATGGTTAAATCGAATGGTAAAAACAGTTTTTTAAGACTTTCCGATTTTTAGTATCCCGAGCGCAACCTGAAACTAGCATAGAAAGATGCGCGAGACTTTTCTGCATGGATTGGTGTATCATTTAGCTTGCGCGAGGAATACTAACATTGAGAAAAATCGCGATTTGTAGGCGAAAAACGCGGA